TGCTGGTGCCATAATATTAACTTCTCTGAAATGCCCATCTAAATTTATAATTTCTTACAGAATCCTAAACCCATAGAATAGTTTGGTTTCATTTTATATCTTTGTGATATAGTCTTTATTCCTTCAAGGCATCTTTTTCATTTGGATTGCCTTATCTCTCCAGAACAATATTCCATCTTTCATAGCTGAGCCTTAAAACCTCATGAACTTTATCACATCCTGGGCTGCATCCAAAGACCCATGGCCAGCAGGCTGAGAGAAGTGATTCCAGCTCTCTACCCACCTTTTGTGAGACTTCCACCTGCAGTGCTGCATCCAGCTCTGGGACACCAAATACAAAAAGGTCATGGATTTGCTGGAGCAGGTCCAGGTGAGGGCTGTGAAGGTGATCAGAGTGCTGGAGCAGCTCAGCTATGGGAACAGCCTGAGCAAGCTGATGTTGATAAGCCTGGAGAAGAGAAGGCTCCAATGACACATTTGCAGCACTTCCATGTGCAAAGGGGGCTTATAAGAGAGAATTTTATCTGTAGTGATAACATAAGGACAATGGTTTTCAAATGAAACAGAGTTATTAGGAATTAGACTTTAGGAAGAAATTATTTTTTTTTTAGTTGTAAGGGAGATGAGATCCTGCCCAGAGAAGTTGTAGGTGCCTCGTCCCTGGAAGTGTTCAGTGCCAGGCTGGATGGGGCTCTGAGCAACCTGGTCTAGCTGGAAGTGTCCTTACCCATGGCAGGGGATTTGAACTGGGTAATCTTTAAGGTCCTTTCAAACCTGAGCTATTCTCTGACATTGTGTGCATCTATTAAATTATATCAATTTTGTCTTTTTTTTTTAAGTTTTGGGAGTTTTTATTTTTTTTTTTTCAGAAAAGAGTTAAAAGTTCAGATATAAAAAATACTCTCAGGGTTGATTTTTTTTAACAGTGTATTCAAGCTCCTACTTCTACTTATCTGTTTAGAAGTCAAGTAAGTCATCTTAACTTTTTACTTTATGTAAAAAAGCTTAAAAGGAACACTTCATTTGCACCCTGCATTGAATTTTGTCAGGTGTAAATTAATTCTCATTTACATAGAAACTAAGCAGAGCACATTATTATTTTTAATTATTCTAATTTTCTAACTGATTTTCACTGAATCTTTTATTTTTTTAAACAATACATATATTGCATTTAAAGATTCTTTCATAGGACTACCTTCTCATATCTACTTGGTTTTACTTCATTTTCAATTGATAGAACTTTTTGATAAATATTCTGGTTATTATTGTAATTTTTTATCAGGCTTTGTAGACATATAAAATAGTCAGACATATTTCAAAGACTTGGCTTTAAGGTTTGATTTTTTTCCTGATTGTTTTATATTAAGCGTAATCTGTGTTTATGTTTGATAAATACTAATTCTGTAACCGTTTAAGCATACTAAACAGCAGTATGAAGACCATACAAGAAAAAAAATAAGTTCTCTTTATAAACAAATGATTCCCTTTCAACTCAATTTTTTAGTTTCATAGGAAATGTAAAATATCTTTTATCTATACTGTAAAATGAAAATTATTTCCAGAATTATATTCTTTTTGTAAGACATCACTTCAAGCATCTTAACCTGTTCCTGACTAGGAAATCAAAAATCATTTGTTTTAAGATTATTTCTCTGAATCGAGTCATTAGCACAGTCCTCTTCTTTTTGTATATTGGAGCTCTTGACTGAGGAAATGGCTGCAAAGCCTTTTTATACAGGCTTTTTTGAGAGGGAAATTACAAAGCTCTTTTTTGAGGGGAATGCTTTACAACTGTGAGTTTTTTATTTTGCGATATATCTTGATTTGACAGACTTTTACTCCTATTTTTGGTTGATTGTGTTTATGAATGTTAATACCTGCAGCTTTGTACAGATGGCAGTCCATAACTCACTTATTCTTTTAAAATATCAACAGATACTATGGGCATCCAAACTCTACATTTAGAAGAGAGAGAAGTCTGAATTGGAAGTCCCTATTCTCTTAAATGCTTTTATCTGCAGTATAGAAGTGTACACTACTTTCTCAGTTGTAAGTCTTAAAATAGGATATGAGTTTGCCACATGTGTATTGAGCATCTAACCACAAAACATTATCTAGGAAGGAGGATTTCTCAGATCCAGAGTATCTTTTAATGCTGAACATTCATGCCTAGTGTTCATTAATGTAGTAAACTTATTGTGAGAATTGCACATTGGAACTCAGTGCTTAAATATTTGTGAAATAACCACACTTGGAACTTCGCAAAGTCTAATGAGATTTCCAATCTATTTGTTGAACATGCTATTCATCCATCTATTGAACATCCAGAAATACATTTGGACAGTTTTCTTACAAGTGATTCCCACCACAAGATTCATTTCTGGAGGAAAAGCAAGGCTCTGAGCCTTGCTATTCTGAGATTGTTGACCATAGCTAACTATAAAACATGCTTATGCTGTTTTCTTTTTTCTTCATATTCTCCACTAGTGTGAGATGTCACACTCTGAGGAATCTTTGATAGTCTGTTCTTTGTATTAAACAGTTTAGCTGCTGAAATATGGGGTATTTAAAGGTCTGTGAAAATCAAGATCACTAGATTTACTTATTAAAACTCTTGGAGCAGAAAGATGAGCTCCTGTGTCTTGTAAATAAATTCATAGCCAGGCAAGCTTTACTTATTTGGATGAAAATGCTTGTTTTTCTACAAAAATAAGGGCTGAACAGTTATTAAAGGAGATGCTGCTGGCCTTGAGCAATACAGCAGCTTTGATCTGTGTTTTAAAACTTCTATTGATAACATTTCTTTTTGCTCAAAGTCTATATATCTGCATGCAGCAGCAGCATATATCATCAAAAAGTTACGCTTTTTGACAGAGGCAAACAGGAAAAAGTTGAAAATATGCTCTTCGGGGGAAAAAAAAAAATTAAAGAAGAAGAAAAAAACTAATGTTTTTAACCATTCCTGAAGCTAATTTTACTTCATACTAAAGATACTCAGTTCTGGTCTTTGATATTAGGAAGTATTCCTAAGTATTAGGAATTTTCTTGCCTAAAACCAAGCTATACATGAGAGGACTAGAACAGATTTTCCAGAGACACATATGGAAAGATTTAGGAGCTGTTTATCAAAAAAAATACATACATATATGTATACTAAAGAATCTTTTTTAATACCATTAAAAGACAATAGCGATGAAATTAGGAAGTAACACAAATAAATATTTGATAAAAAAACCCCACTATTCACCCAAGAGATAAGAAGAAAAGGGAAAAGACTACTCCCTCTCATTCTGTAGAGCTCCCTAAACTTCCTTCTCTCCAGAGAAACAGTGAGTAGAAGGGATAAATCTTGTCACTTAGTAGCACTGCAGTATCAAAATCACAGTTACTTTGCAAAACAGCGATTTCCTCTGTGTCAGACTCACTGTTTGGTATATGTTTAATGCAGCCAATCCTTACAAGCCAGTCAGATGTGTAAGAAAAA